AACCCAAAGATTTAAATAAATGGTGGTAAACAACAGATATATGCCATTAATTATTTTTTTAAATGTTTTACATTCTGTGTTCCATATTTTTTTGATTGTATTGAATATTTCTCTAAGTGAGACATAACAGGCAGCGATTAATAACGTGATTAACAAAACATTTCAATGGTAAATGGCCTGAAATTATATAAGGCTTTTTCAAGTCATGAGACTAAACCAAACATCACATTCAGTTATTCCCGAAAACATTCACACACTGATGGTGGCAAGCTACATTGTAGCCACAGTTGCCCTGGGGCAGGTCATTTTTTATTTTTTTTTTGGCCAATATATCATACATGTATATGTGGTACTGTTATATGTAGTAGTAACATGAAAATGCTCCACATGAATCTTATCAAAGCTAAAAATATTAAAGTCTTACGTTTTTATCAAAGCAATTTTAAAGGAAAAGACTTGATGCAGGAGTTATTTCAAATGATTCCTCAGGCCAATATTCAGTGCTTGGCACTATCAATACTATGAGCAGGGATCCACTCTTGAAATACCGACTATGTTAGTTGGGAGATGACGGGCCGTCATTGGCCAGGTTGTGACCTGGAAGAACATATCGCTTTATGGCCACAGGTTCTTATATAGTCATGGAGCTAAGGCTTTTTTCTCTATTTTTCCACCTGCTCTACTACTGGTAGGAAACAAAGACAAGGAAAAAGATTAAAGGAATAGTACACCCAAAACATGATTAGGCTTCATTTTCTACTCACCCCCATGCTGAACAACACTCCGTCCAATGTATTCCAAGTGTCCTGAGTGGGTAGCATCCAGAATTTACTCGAAACGAAGTCATTTAGAATGTTTTTAGAGCATAAACAGTAGTGTATAGGATTTCCTGAAAGCGCGCACATGCGCGCTCACGAGCCTACGGAAACCGGCAGACCAAACCAGCGCATTCAGCTCGGCAAAGAACTCATGCTCTTCCTCAACACTGAAGTCCTCAGACATTTTTCTTTCGTTGTTTCTTTCTTTGCACAGGTAAACAGCACATTTCTTCTTCTACGCTTGCATTATTGGCAGAGCAGACGCTGAATGCACACTCTCATCTGGTTTGGTCTGCCGGCTTCCGTAGCGTCGTGAATGTGCAGGTGCGCGCTTTCAGGAAATCCTATACACTACTGTTTATGCTCTAAAAACATTCTAAATGACTTCGTTTCGAGTAAATTCTGGATGCTACCCACTCAGGACACTTGGAATACATTGGACGAGCAGTATGGAGGAATATTGACACGTTTTTTGTGGACTTTTATGGACCTTTCTGTCTCGGTCACCATAGACCTCCATTATTTGAATGTCAGCAGACAGCAAGAAGCCTCCCAGATCTCCAGATGCATTTGAGATATCAAAAAAGTACTCCAGAGTGTTGTTCAGCATGGGGGTGAGTAGAAAATGAAGGCTAATCATGTTTTGGGTGTACTATTCCTTTAAACCTTCTGAGGAGGCTAAAAAGAGAAAAGCTAAAGGGATCGTGCGTGAGGAAAAGCAAGAGTCGATCAGGGAAAGGAGTTTATTCGTTGGCACAGGCTGAAAGAAGCTGGATGTATTAAGTTTTCTCTACTTTATTATTTGACTTGTAAGTTAAAACTTTGCTCCTAACATACAGTCTTATGTTTTTGTTATTTTTTACTATTTTTAGTAGAAGCAAACTACGGGTAGTTACAGGTCTAGCGCTCCTAGTGTCCAAAAAATATACAGATAGATATTTATCTGGAAAAGATAAAACATTGAATCCTGCTCTAATCACCCTCTCCTTAAGGAGATGTCTTCATCTCCGTGAGGTATTTGTGTTCCAACCTCAACAGGTTCCTCGTTAGATGTGGAACCATCTCTAACATTTCCTCCTGCAGATCTCAGCTAGAAAGTAGAAAATACTCAGAGTTCATCCAAGTCATAATTTACAGCTTACTGCTTTATGAAACAGAAAAGTAATGGTGTGCAGTAATTTATCCCAGGACCTGCTCTGGATAACCTCTAATGCTGGTGTGCGAACTGGGACCCTGTGTTTCAAATATAGAAGCAAAAATATGTGTGACTAAATGAAGTCACAGATAGACAGCACTTGGCAGGGGTTGACGTTAAGGATTTTTACCACTTGCCCTTTGGGCAAATGACTTTTACATTTCATTTGCCCAGAAACAATTTTTACTTGCCCAGTGTAATGTTTGATAAATATAGTTCCTAATATTCATTTTTGTATATATATCAATGAAACATGTTTGTTTTTTAAATGTTTTTTTGTAATTCAGTAAGTTTACAGGTTCATTGCGGGCAAATGCAATGAAATTTGTACTCTCCCAACAATAAAAACTACTTGCCACGGGCGATCAGGCGATGGTTAACATCGAGCCCTGCTTGGGTTAGATAGTCTGTCATTAGACAATCATTATCATGAGATCTCATTACAGTCTTTCTCAAATGCTAAAACACAAAAGCCAATCCTCTAAACCAAATGACCAGTTGTCTAAACACATTTACTAAATCTAGCCATCATTTTCCAATATCATAAACACATTTCACATGAAGACACAATTCACAAAACACAATCCTCCATTCACATAAATCTTAACACATTTTTCCTTGCTAAAACACAAGTTGCAAAAGAACTCTGCTCATATTCTCAAATAAAAGCTCATGTGATGCAAAATGCTTGCCACAGTCAGCAATATTTGAACAAAAGGAACACACCTGGCGTCATTCTTTACACACAACGACTCAAAATTGAAAACACCTCTTGCTAATGCTGTGACCACATATATAAAAGCAAGTTCAGAGTGCACAGTTTGCTGAAGATTCCAAACAAACACAATGGATGAAGGCAGAGTCAAGGGAAGAGGTTATCGCGTCAGAGGAGGGAGAAGAGCTGGCCAGGGAGGAAGAGGAGCAGGCCATGGAGGAAGAGGAGCAGGCCATGGAGGAAGAGGAGCAGGCCATGGTGGAAGAGGAGCAGGCCATGGAGGAAGAGGAGCAGGCCATGGAGGAAGAGGAGCAGGCCATGGTGGAAGAGGAGCAGGCCATGGTGGAAGAGGAGCAGGTCATGGTGGAAGAGGAGCAGGCCATGGTGGAAGAGGAGCAGGCCAGGGAGGAAGAGGAGCAGGCCATGGAGGAAGAGGAGCAGGCCATGGTGGAAGAGGAGCAGGTCATGGTGGAAGAGGAGCAGGCCATGGTGGAAGAGGAGCAGGCCAGGGAGGAAGAGGAGCAGGCCATGGAGGAAGAGGAGCAGGTCATGGTGGAAGAGGAGCAGGCCAGGGAGGAAGAGGAGCAGGCCATGGTGGAAGAGGAGCAGGCCAGGGAGGAAGAGGAGCAGGCCATGGTGGAAGAGGAGCAGGCCAGGGAGGAAGAGGAGGAGGCCAAGGAGGAAGAGGAGGAGGCCAACAAGGGAGAGAAGGTCCAGGAGGGAGAGCAAGACAACCTTGTACCATCATTACGGACGAGATGCGAGCAACAGTCATTGACCATGTCATTGTCCATGGCATGACAATGGCTGAAGCAGGACTAAGAGTCCGTCCAAACCTGAGTAGGTTCACCGTGGCCACCATTATCAGGGCATTCAGACAACACAACAGGTATTGTACTCTATTGCTTTCTTTGTCACAATACAATTTTACAAGCTTGTGAAAGTAGTCTATTACAGTAGTTTCAAATCAGTTGTTACTGTATTGTAAAACATGTCAATTGACGACACATTTCTTTCTTTAGAGTTGAAAGAATGCCACATAGAGGTGGGCGGTTGCCATATTTAAAGCGGCACAAGAAACCCCCATTGTGGATATGGTTCGTGAGAACAACCTCATCAGACTCCGAGACATCAGAGACAAAGTCATTGACCATAATGTGAACTTTGAGGGCATTGATGATGTCAGCTTGGCCACAATAGTCCGAGTTCTCGGCGCCAAAAGATGCGGATGAAACAAGTCTATAGGGTTCCCTTTGAGCAAAACTCTGCACGACACAAAGACCTACGTTACGAGTATGTGCAAGTAAGTATACATCCATGTTCACAGTACAGTTAGTAAACATACTGTGTTGCTCAGTGGCCTACATTACTTCTGGACAATACAGTACGTAATATGCTACCTGATTGACTGTTGCTCTGAACACCTGTGCACTTTCACATTTTCACAGAGAATATTACTGTTGGACGAGATGGCCAGACCTCATGAGTACCTCTTCCTGGATGAGGCTGGCTTCAACCTGCACAAACGAAGGCAAAGAGGCCGTAACATCATTGGCCAAAGAGCCATCACTGAGGTTCCTGGCCAACGGGCGGGGTAATATTAATCTTTTTGCGGCCATGGGTTTGGAGGGGCTTGTCCACCGGCAGGCTGTCCTTGGGTCTTACAACACCCAACGTCTCCTAACCTTCCTAGAGGAGCTAAAAGATATCCTCCTAGACCGCCAACAACACCATCCTGGGCCCGAAAATCCCATTTATGTGATCATTTGGGACAATGTACGCTTCCAGACAACAAACCAAATCAGTGAGTGGTTCACCACCAACAGTAACCACTTTTTAGACGTCTGTCTGCCACCCTACTCCCGTTTCCTGAACCCTATAGAGGAGTTCGTCTCATCGTGGAGATGGAAGGTTTATGAAAGACAACCATACACTAGAGAAAACCTCCTAAGGGCAATGGAGCTGGCGTGTGTTGTCATCCCAGTGGAGAACTTCCAAGGATGGATCCGCCATTCCAGGGCGTTTTTCCCACTGTGCCTGGCAAGAGACAATATAGCCTGTGATGTGGATGAGGTGATGTGGCCTGATGCAGCTCAGCGACATGATGCCGCACAGTGATTGTGGTGTAAATACTGTAAAATGAATAAAAAAAACTTCACACCCTGATCATGTTTTCAAGAGTACTGTTGTGTGCAATAGATTCTGCTTTTGCAGTGAGTTGTGTTACAGTAGTGTACAGAATTTACTATACCCTTCATATGAAACTCACAAATCTAAATGCCCAATCCTCTGCAGAACTCTAAGAAGATCCATAATTGTAAAGTTTCTAAAAATATGCATTGGCAGTAAAGAAACAAAGAACCTTCTCATAAATTGAGCATTGTGTTTTCAATTGTTTTGCTGTAGTGTGTAATGATGTGTATAGTGTTTACATTTTTGAAAGCTTCGAGCTGCTCTTTTGGTGTGAAAGTTTGAGTTTTGAAGGGAGAAGGTGTGGTTGTGTTTATGTAGCTTTAGAAAAGGGTGTTGTGTTTAGACATTGAAGAACATGGATGAAACGTTTGTGAAATGTGTTTTAGCATTTGAGAAAAACTGTAATCTGTTTACAGATTGTAAAAACTAAAGATGTTAGAAGGTAAGCATCTTTGTTTTCTTTTTAAATTGTCTGAGTCTTTAGGTGCGAAGGAAAAAAAAAACAAACAAACAAAAAAAAACATTTTATTTCACTAAATGTAAAGCTGATACTTAACAAATGATTTTCTGTTCACCCAAACAATCTCCTGAAAGCATTAGGTAAAGGTCAGTGATTTGTATGCACTCCAGTAAAGTACCAGAGGTGTTTCAGTGGTTTTTAATGAGATGATATCTGAGAATGTTTAATAATGGATTTCCATTACCTGGTGGAATGTAAATCCATAATAAAGAAGAAAAAAGGAGGCAAAATGTTAAAAAGGAGCAGGATGTTGGGCCTGGACAAACCAAATCAACTGTTAGTTTACCTTTCCCAAACCGCTTCTTAAACTGCTTGTTTTTTGGTCAGGATGCAAATCTTGGCTGCATGGCAGGGGATATAACCTGCCTCTTGGTTTCTATATCTTGTTCATAATTTATCAAGAAGACATTGATATGCACGGCACAGCCCTACTCTGGCTTCATCCATATTCACTCTTCTGCCACGGCTCCAAGGATGGAGAGAGACGGTTTCAGGAAGAGGGAGACAAATACATGTCTAATGACCCCTTCAGCATGTGTGTCTGTGTGCAAACTGCATGAACTGCATGCAGTACAGTTAATCAGACGCTCAGGCTCCGTATAAAACAGGGCCTGCAGATCAGAATCAATTACACCCACCACTCCTTTTCCTGCCTTGCATCAACCTCATCAGCTTTCTCTCTGAATTTGTGCAGTTTTATTTTTATTCAGCGCTGCTGTAACCTCTTTACTGATTTTCTCCTCTAAACAACCTCCTCCATCTCCTCTGGGGGAAGCCTGAGGCTCACCAGGACCAGCAGAGAGACAAAAGGCCTGATCTTCAGCAGGCTTGTGCATCTTTACATGAGAGCTAACTTGTTTGATTTGCATTTGCAACTCTTCCTGTGGCATGTGCAAACTGTTGTATGTTACTTTATCAATATGCAGATGATATTCTAATAGGAAAATGTCCAGGTGCAAACTGATGCAGAAAAATATCTACAGTTCTTTTGGCACAATGGAGGCATTAGCTCTCCTCCTTTATATCATAGTCTTGCGGTTACTTTGTTCACCATTAACAGATTTTTTTTCAGTTTTATTATTGATCGTAAAACTTCATCGGTCATTAGTCACGCTAACGAACGCTGCGTGATGTTATTATTATTATCGTTATCATTGCTTTCTGCATTAACTGCGACACACATGCAGGCAACCTGGTTTCTGAGCATAAACCAGGCTTAAGAAGGAGCATTGACTCTGCTTTGAGACCTCCTTAATTGCAGAGCTCCTAAGTCTATCTCCTGTGTCTGTCTTTTCATCCTGGCTGCATAGAGGCTCCCAGATACGGTGACCAGATATCTTTATTTGGGCAGGACTGTGGTACATTTCCAAACTTGCAAGCAAGCAAAAACATGTGATCGCGTGCTTGCATTAATTATTTTTGCCCATGCTTTTTAAAATAAACAATTGCCCAAAAAATTATTTTTTCTTTGGTGCCCTACTGTGCCCCTGTATAGTATTGGGTCAGCTGCGCCCCTGGTGCATGGCCTACCTGCAAAAGAAGTTCACTTCAGCTGCCTCTGTCCACAATGCTCTACTGAAAATCTCAACCTTGATGAACACCCTTAGACCAACCAGTCTTTACAATTTCATCCAAAAATAGCTGCCGAAGAACTATTGATTAATAAAGGAAAATATTCATAAAATTCAAAACTATGATCCCAGTTCCTAATTCTTAAGGAAAGGTCTGGTCATATTCAGAATTCAAACTTCTGAAAGTATTTTCAATATGAAATTATTACATACTGTTCAATAAATGATAAGTGTTTATAATTAAAACTAATTTTCATTTGAATGTGCTTTACTGGAGGCATCCATGTTTCTCCAAGAACACTACTGCCACCTACTGGTTTGTGACGTCATAGTGCGGTATCGGCTGTTGATCAAGTCCCAGTGCTGTATCTGGTGTTTGTCACAACGCGCTATTATCCAAGTCATCTTGAAATGTTGGCTGCATATTAAATTTTTTTTTCTCTGGCCAAATCCTCCCTCCGTCCATGGAGGATAATAAATCGTAAAGGTGAAATAGCGCATTTTTTTTTTTCACTTTAACCCAATGAATTACAACATCCAACTACCATGCACATGACCATTGTCAGTTTCACTATAGCTCTGGTGAATTTCAATGGTGAAGTCCTCTGAAAATCTTCAATAATTGTTGTTGATTGCAGATGAGACTAGTAGTTCCCATTGATTTTGCTTGTAAAGCGGTTAGAATGGCGCTAGGCTAACTGCACTGGAAGATGTCAGGAGTTAGGTGTTACTATATTTGGGCAAAAATGACTCAGTGATCACAACAAAAATTAAAAAAAATTTTTTTTTTTACTGATTAACGCTAAATTCATTTAATCACTGCAAATGTATTAGTTTTAGGTATAAATATGATCCATTGATCCTTCCTTGCTGACTGGACTTTTCTTTTAAAAATCATAAAAAAGTGTTTTGTAGGTACAGCTCAGGAGAAAAGTACATCTAGGTTTCACCCACATGTAGGTATTCATACTGTTTAACTGTCTTAGCTTGTCCTGTTTCTCAATTTAAGGTGCGTCCAAAAGGTTTAAAGTAGAATGGCCGCTGTGGTATTTTAATTCAATTCAGTTTATTTCTATAGCGCCAATTCACAGCAAATGTCATCTCAAGGTACTTTCCAGTTCACCAGATCATTCCTTCAAATTGATTCAAAGTTTTCTATCTAAGGAAAACCAGTTGATTGCATCGACTCATTGACTCAAATGTAATCCCTCACACTAAGCATGCTTGTAGCGACAGTGGAGAGGAAAAACTCCCTTTTAACAGGAAGAAACCTCCAGCAGAACCAGGCTCAGTGTGAGCGGCCATCTGCTGAGGCCGACTGGGGTTCAAGGAGACAGAAGCAGAGATACAAAAAGCAGCTGTAATAGGCGGCCCCGTCCAGGAAACACACAGCCAGGCAGACGAGCTCAGAGCCAGCTCCCATGTCAGAGGATGAAAAGAGCACATCCAGCCAGTCACTGTCAGAGAAACAGGACTACACTGAAAAACAGGCCGATCTCCAACATCTATAAACAAAGGTGTTGATGGCAGCAGCACAGCTGATATTTCACTTCGTTATGGAGTCACAGCCAAACAGGAACAGACCAGATGAAGCTACTACGAGAAAAACCAGAGAGAGCAGAACGTTAGAGATTGAACTAACAGATTTTGCAGAGTGAGAAAATAGAGATAGAATGATGCAGAATGATGAAATGGGGGTCCCTATATCCTCCAGCAGTCTAAGCCTATAGCAGCATAACTATAGAGATAGCTCAGGATAACATGAGCCACTCTAACTATAAGCTTTATCAAAAAGGAAAGTTTTAAGCCTAGCCTTAAAAGTAGACAGGGTGTCTGCCTCACGGACTAAAACTGGTATTTGGTTCCACAGGAGAGGAGCCTGATAACTAAAAGATCTGCCTCCCATTCTACTTTTAGAAATTCTTATTTTTCAAAGACTCTGGTCTAAAGACTATAACTTCTGTTTTGTCTGCATTCAGAAGGAGAAAGTTAAGAGTCATCCAGGTTTTTAGGTCTTGTTTTTATGTATTTGTCATATCTCTGTTTTTTTTTACTTTTTTAAATCTACTAGAACAACTAGATTTTTTTATGTAGATTACAGATTTTTAGAACTCTCAACTGACCCTGGGTATACTTTTATTTATCAGTTTTATGTTTGGGATTTTACAGGCAATGGATAAGCTTGTAATAGATGTTGATAGACAGATGGTTTAACTCATGCCATCCGTGGGTGATTTAGCAGCTTTTTTAGCACATTTCCTAACAGTTTCCAGCAATGACTTTCCAGGTTGTTCAGAAGAACAAACCATCTGTTGGGTCAGAGGAATAGTTTATATAACACTGCGAAATGTGTTGCTGCTTTCATAAACTTACTAAACACAAATTCTTGTACTTATTTTATCATGTTTTATCTCAATACTTGGTACTATATTTCACAATGTATAATACAGAGAATGTGTTATAGAGTTTGCCCACGCTGACAGTTCAGGGTTGACTGTTCTCTGTGTTTCAAAGACTATTAATGACAGTGTTTAACCCTTCTACTTTGAGAAGGGTGGTGAGGTCACACACTGATGCTGGGTGAGATATATCTGTCCAAATTCATGCCTTAGACAGGTGGAGGTTGTGAAGGCCAACAAATCTCCTCCACACTGAACTAGTTGATTCATGTCTTTTGAATGTTTCTTTGTGCACTAGAGTCCCAAAGAACCAGAGAGTCTGGAGTATAAAATTAACCAAATTCTCTTGATTTACAGCTAAGCTTGAGCCTCATTCCTAAAGGTCAGCTCCACATCAAGATCCCTCCATTTGGTTACACTCATGGTGCCAGTGTTGTGCCTGAACGCGTTCATTGAACGTAAGTTCATGAACTCGTTCATATTTTGGGCGAACGTGAACTGAACGTACTGCATTACTGCCTGATGAAAGTTATTGTGAACTCGTTCATTCTGGTGTCTGTGAACGGCACGCTCTCTCAGTTCAACTCCGTTCAATAGGTTGCCAGATTTCTATAGAGCCCTCCAGGCGAAACCCCGGCTAAATCACACCGTAAACAGGCCTTAATATGTAGCGGGGAAAACACCCAATCTGGCAACACCAGCTACCAGCGTCGTAGCCTACAGCCGCGTGCGTCATCAAAACAAAATGCAGCGTGGAAGCCACAGCAGCATGGAGACGACCGTGGAGGCGACAAAGCAGCAGTATGATCACTTAAAACAGTTTTATGACCAGGTGGTCGGTGAGGATGATGGCAACGATCTTACATTTCTCTGCAAACTTTGCCCGCCGGCTTTCAGTAAAAATATCCGCACTTCA